TAAGTACTCAAAGAAAATTTTCCTTCACAAGTTGGCCCAGTGTTGGGGGGGCCACAGCCACCCCAGCAACGTACATACCTCTGCCATTGCTGGATCATGGCTTGATCTATTGCAGATAAAGGGGCAAAACAAAAGGATGCTGGAGATGGGTATAAAGCTACTAGAGCAAGTAGCAAGTGAAGTTTACAAAGCATCTCAAGGGTGGAGATATAATGTGCCAAGGCTGGGATGGTGATAAAGCCCCCCGCCAAATGATAGCTGTTGGTTGCGTTGTGTCTCTGCTCCAGTTTCTAGTAGCAGTGTTTGGTTTGTTATCTTTTGTTGCTTTTGAGCTGCCCATGTCGTCTTGTCTAAACTTGTAATGGTTTGTTTCTCTCTTTATTGAATATTTGCCATGTTGGTGACATTTCTCGGAGAATCCCAAGAATGCACCTGATGATATTGCTTTATCTTGTCTGTAGTTCTTGTAGTAGTAGTAGAGTAGGTTTAACTGGTTCTTCTAGCTCGTTCGGTGGTTTTGCTTAATGGAAATCGGAGGGGGAGTCTTTGCTTCAATAAAAAAAAAGTCTCTCATTTCTACGTACCCAACAAACACCCCACTTAATTGCAAGGCCAGCCCATAGGCCGGGCAAAAGGGGGCGACCGGCCCGGGCAGCAAGAGGGAAGGGCCCCAACTAAAACTTATATTAGTAAACACTATAAAAGTATACATTACATCTGGAAGATTATTAAATGGATAAAATAGAACCTCAATTTACAGCAGCAGAAAATCACACCACATACTAGTAAGTTATACCACGCATAGGCAAACCAATCCGGCTGGCGAATTTGAGTTATAACACTAACAGATTGTTTGGCCAGAATGGATCCGCAACAATAGGCATGGTCCTTCGGGATACTAAAGGGTAGATCATATTTACCACTTGTCGTCATCTTCTATCATGCCATGATGCGCTTGAAACAAAACTAAATGCTCTTTCTGGAGGAATTTCCCTTGCTATGTAATGGATCAATCTTTCACTTCATGTGGAATCTGATTGTATGGAAGCCGTAAATATGGTGAAAAGTGAGAAGATGGATAGATTAAGATATGCCATCTTAGTTCGAGAGATCAAATTGAAGCTGTTAGAAAGAGAAGCTTGTATTACTCATGTTTCGACGTGCTCAGAACTCTGTAAGCCACTTTATGGCTAGTTATGCTAGATCGTTTAGTCGAACTGCTGTATGGCTTGGCAATGTGCCTGCAGGTGTTGCACAACTACGTGACAATGATTGTAACAACTTAAATGAGTAATCCAAGTTTTTTTCCCGCAAAAAGGAAAAATACACTAGTCTCTCTTTACGATGGATATCTTAGTATCATAATGGAAATTATGATAACTAGACTTCAGTGTTTAAACGAATTCACAATTTTTAATTTGATAAACATGTAGGACATCTCATTTGCATCAAATCAAACCAAGTGAATCTGTCCAAGCATGTTAGGTAATCAAATCATACGTAAAAGTCCAATCAACAATATGTTTGGTTCTTCAATGATTCTATCACCGAACCCAACTTGCAGTGACATTTTCCATGACCTAGAAGTTTACATGAATATGACTATGTATATACACTAGAAATCACTATTAACATATTTTTCATTGTGTATACGATTTAGAAATATCTACCATAATATTCAGTAATATTAAAAAATATATGAACACACACATAGATATGCAAATGTCTATACATTACACTGTTTATGCAATAATAAACAAAATAAATTTGAAAATTGTTTTAACAATAAAGAAAAAATTTGGTATGTCACAAAATTTTCATTTGCTAGAATTAAACAGTTCAATTATGTATATTACAACTGTATACTAATGAATAATATAACTACTATTTGGAACATTGTTGAGGAAATCGTTAACTGGTAGCTGCTCGGTTGGTTGACGGGTAGGGGATTAATAGGCTAATCGGCAAGTTAATCGGCCATTTAATCAATTACTCGGGCGATTAATCAGTTAATCAGCTACTCGGTGACCCTATGAGTAGGGATTAATCGGCAAGTTAACTGGTTAATCGGATGAATTCTTGAACAGGGATTTGGAAACATTCTTAGTTATGTGGCTAAGTAGTAAAAAAATATTAATTACAACTGCAATATGGTACACTTAGTTTAAAATAAGTATAAAAGTTTAGTATAAAAACAATTGTGCCCAAAAGTGATTGGGACTGGCTCTACTTGATTGCAGCATGTTGAAACACTCGAGACAACATAAAAAACTTGGGAGTGTTAGATGATTTGCCATGCTTTATTATGGGTTTAATGATTTTCTCCAGATTTGCCTCAATGGCTAGTGGCTCCGGCCCCACCCGTCAATCTCAAGGGTGGGGGAGGGGCAAATGATCAAAGTGAAAATCTGGTGCATGTCAGTATTATATTTGAAGACATAAAAGCCTTTTCCACTTACTAAATCGACCATCAATGAATCTCCTTCTACAAGAAACAAGTATAGTCATGTTCCAGTCCATATGATTAGGGACCCGACCCATCCAAATTGCCTTGTTATGGAAATAAGATCGCAATTGACAAAGTTGTTCATCACCCAAATTACCCCCAAAAAAATGGAACATTTGAGAGGCGATGGCTTCAATGCCCCATTTTGAGAATTTATCATAGTTATAAGATAAGTAGGCATACTTGCAATACAAGTAGTGACAAGAAAACATTTGCCCCTATATAATAAATTTCTACCAAACCACCTAAAAATGTTTTTGATGATCATATCAACGATAGGTTGAATGTCTTCTCTCCTGAGTTTTTTAAAATGCAAAGGTACACCCAATTATTTGAAGGGAAAACACTAATCTGCCAACAGAAAATTTAAGCAGAGCACTTTGCAAGTTACTCATCTACATGAATAGTAAGTACATTTCTTTTGTGAAAATTAATTTTTAATCCATGAAAAAAAAATTCAAAGTAGGACAAGATCCATTTGAAATCACACCATCAGGAATAGCTTCAGTGAGACACTATAACAAAAAATGACACATCGATGACTTATGCCCGAACAAATATATTTTTTGTATGGAACTGACACTTCTATGGTGATTGTCGGAGCAATGGGCCACGGGTAGGCTCACCCGAGGCCCAAGATTTATCAAGACTCTGGGCCAGCTCCGCCTAGCTGAGCCCCAAGCCGAAACTCCGCCCTCTGAGGCCGGCTGGCTCGGCGGCCGGCTGCCAGAGGGCGGGTGACCCAAGACTACGACGCTCCGAGTGACCGGCTCCTGGCGGCCGCCCTCCGGAGAGGGCGGCTGCAGGTAGGCGGCTACTTCACGACTACGGGGCGGCCGAGCTCCCATCAGGAGTACAAGACGAAGTATGGCTACAGTGAAGCACGTCGCCTCCCACGCTCGAGACGGGCGTGGCTACAGTGCTCCGTACAGATGGAGATCTCCGCACGACGGAGCACTGTGCCGTATCTATTCTGACGTTGCTCCTAGCAGGTGGAGCCCTGTTCCCCACGACGGCATGTCGCTACGGCCTGCCAGAGGCGGGCCCTATCAGACAGTGACCCCAAGGAAGACGGCGAAAGTTCGACCAGGCGGATCAGAGAGGGGTTGGCCTCCAGCAGGCGGCCGTCCCTTGCCCTGAGGCGAGCATGCCATTAAGCTGATAAGACCAGGTGTGGCTACAGTGTCCTCCCACCAGGCGGTGGGAATGTAGCCACGCTAAGATGACCAAGCCCCCCTCACTGGGGATACGGCTACAGTGAACAGCCACCAACCAGTCGGTAGGGCCCACCAGGCGGAGGGCCCCAGCGATCGGCGGAGAAGTCGGAGGCTAGAGACACTAACGGCCGGGCCCGGCGGCCAGCCAGATTACCATTGTACCCCTGGGGGGTAGGCCGATATAAACCCCCCAGGCCACCCATGCAAAGGGTTCCCACTCTGATAGAACTAGCCAGAAAGCTAGGGCCGG